CCACCTATTGGACCATCCGACCAATGCACAAACATCCACATTGATGGTGATCCTTCCGAGGACTGGTTTCTATAACACTATCTGCCATACAATTTTATGTTATATAATATGCTATATAATAATAATGAATTTAGAAAGTCACACATACATACATACTTATTTTATGAATTGCCTTGTGTGTGTATACCTATTTCTCATTCAAAACACTAAACTAGCAAAATGACTATCTGTGCTTTTCAAAAATGTCATTGTCATAAAGTGCAAAGCACCAAGGAATTGTTCATTAGAGACTGTAGGCAACTGTGCAATGTGTCTCAGACTGGATTGGACCCTGGAGTTGGGGGTGGGATGGACGTAGTTCCTGTTACACAGAAATTATTAGAGCAACTGGCAAAGTTTGAAGGTAGACTGTGTATTAGAGGATTGTATTGTAGCAAAAATTTCTTGAATTTCACCACTGCATTGTGGTTATATGAGAATGTCTTTTTTTTTTTTAAAGATTTTTTATTTATTTGACAGAGAGAGACACAGTGAGAGAGGGAACACAGGGGGAGTGGGAGAGGGAGAAGCAGGCTTCCCGCGGAGCAGAGAGCCCAATGTGGGGCTCAATCCCAGCACCCTGGGATCATGACTGGAGCCGAAGGCAGACACATAATGACTAAGCCACCCAGGCGCCCCAAGAGAATGTCCTTTTTTTTGGAAAAAAAAATACATGCTAACGTATTCATACTTAAAGGGGCATGATATCTACAATCCACTCTTAAAGTTTCCAGAAAAAATAATTGATATAAAGCATAGATGGCATCTAAATGGAGGGTTTACAGAACTTCATTGTATTACTCTTAGAATTCTTCGGTATGCAAGTTTAAAAATAAAAATAAACTAGGGGCGTCTGGGTGGCACTGTTGGTTGAGCATCTGACTGTTGGATTTGGCTCAGGTCGAAGAGATTGAGCCCCACATCAGGCTCCCTGCTCAACGTGAGATTCTCTCTCTCCCTCTGCCCCTCCCGCTCATGCTCTCACTCTGTCTCTCAAATAATCTTTAAAAAAAAGTAAAAATAAACTAAAATTGTTTACATGAATGTAATAAAATGAACTTTTCAGCTCTCCAGGTAACTGTACATGAAAGCTGCCTGTGCCTGGTTTGCTGCTTGTTCACAGTGCCCATCACAGAGCGGCGCTCAATGAATGTTAGTGGAATGCAAAAAGAACAGGGAGCACAATGACATTATTCTGCCCCCACTACAGCCCTTACTTTCTTCCTTTAGAATCTCGGCAGCATGACCTACCCAGGAATCTGTTGAACAGTTTCGCTCTAGGCAAGCCCTGTCAATCATTCCGTGACATCATCCCAGCCTCACTGGTTCCAAATCTTGGAAACACTTCCCCCAAACTGACCCCCCTTCTTTCACTCCAGAAAATACTGTCTCTCAAGATGATCTGACGGTGTTGGAACGAACCAAGGACCAACTCTGTCAAATAGTCACAATCAGAAACCCTACACATTTGTGATGCCCCCATTTTCTTTCAGGTATCACCAATCATTCCTTGACATTAGAGGGTACTGACTAAGAACAGTTTTGTTAAGTGAATGAAGACAGAAACCATGGTATCTCTGACGTTAGATTCTATGGGTCTGAAACTTCTTAGAATGCACGTGGCAGATAACTGACATTTCATTATCTTTAGTGGCATTAAATTGGAAAGTAAACAGGATTGAAAAAGCAAAGGGGGGAAAAAGCACGTATCCCCACGAATTACATGACCACATGGCCGCGTAAGCCTTCGGCCAAGCTGACTTCAGTGTCTTACGGGGAGATAGCAGCACAGAGTGGAAAGACGTGGGTTTTTGAAGTGAGCCAGATTTTGGCTCAAATCCCAGCACCTCCATGAACAACCTGCGTGATTTTGGGCAACTCACATAATTTCTCTGAGGGCTGGTTCCATTAGCTAAAGAACAGGGATAGTAATACCTTCCTTATATTATTATGCCACCGAGAAGACTCTGCCAACTACCATAGAAGTCTTGGTTCAGTGAATGGACGGCTCTTATTGTCTTCCTTAAGAGGGTGCAGGAACCGTGTCTGAGGGGATTTTAATCACGTTTCTTCCACTAAACACAGAGCTCCCTAAAGTCCTGGTAACCATAAATGAAGCCTTAACTCAAGGACAGTAGAGTCTTTGAAGGGAACAGAATTAAAGTAGGGTCTGTGCTTTCATGATGGGGTACAAAGAAGCTATTAGTCAACTCAGCAAATATGTGCTCTGTAAATCAGCTCAGCACATTCGAAGAGACCCCACTCAGAAGCAGCAAGCAGCTGAGTTCAGGTCTGAGGGTCTGACCCTCAGACAGGTCTCTGCCTGTGCCATGTAAGCCAGGAGCCTTCAGGGAATCAATGACTGCTCCCTAGAGTTGATCCCCGCAGGCTAACTAGGATTATCGACTGCCAGGTCTACTTCAAATGAATTTTCAGGAAGTCCATGAGCATAGCAAGATTTGGAGCATCTAGGAGAGGTTGCTGTGTGGACTGTGTTACTGGATGGGTGTGGAAGGAGGAAGACTAGAAATCTAATACTCTTCCTATATAGGTTCAGATCCTCTGCCCGTATTTCATACATTTCTTTTTTGTCATTAACTCTTCCTACTTTTATTAGCTGTGATTCTTTTATAAAGAAGAACTTTCATCAATTATTTGGTTACCCTGAGAAACAGTCTAGGAAAAGAAAGGATAAATGCTTCATTCTTTTCTTTTATGTATCAATTTCAGAATGAGTTGGCATTCTAGTAATCTTCAAAGACATTAATGATGACATAAAATTATCATTATATTCTTTCTTATTGGGGAAGGGAGCAGCATTGCAGGTTATGTGGTTTGGGATCCATCCAAGTAGGCATGGGTTTGAATTCTGGGTCTGCCATATAGTGACGATGTGAATTTTGGGAAGTTAATTTCCCAGAGCTCACTCAGTTTCCTCATCTATAAACACTAAGTTTCATTTTGCAGTTTTGCTGCAAGCATTCAATGAGCTAATGCATGCAACAAGCCCTTTTACATAGTGGTTACTCAATGAATCTTAGCTTTCCCAGACACTGACTATTATGGGGATTAAGTGAGAGAAACCTTTCTTTCCTCCCAGCCAAAACCCAAGATCGTCTTGGCTTATTGAAGCATGAAAACATCAGGGTGACCCATTTATAAGCTTGGTTTGCCCTGGGGTACTGAGACTAAGGAATCACCATGCATGGTACCTGCCTCTGCCCAGAGGGCTGCAGCCCCGCCTGCCCATGAACTGGGGCTGGCAGTAAGCTGATGCTCTCCCAGTGTAAGTTCTGGGAATTCACGCCGTGGGCTCTGCAGACCTCAGCCTCCCCTGGGTTGGCAGCCTCTGAGTTGAACTTGGGCGTTAGCCAGCATCTGAGCGCTAACCTTCAGTGAGACCAGCTTCTTTGTGTCAGGCACCTGTCTTTGGGGAAGTAAGATTTTTTCTCCTGTTGATATGGAGAGTCAGTTTCTGACTTTAATAAATTCAGTGTAGGGGCGCCTGGGTGGCTCAGTCAGTGAAGTGTCTGCCTTCAGCTCAGGTCATGATCCCAGGGTTCTGGGATCGAGTCCCACTCCGGGATCCCTGCTCAGTGGGGAGCCTGCTTCTCTCCCTCTCCCTGCTTGTGCTCTCTCTCTCTCTCTGGCAAATAAATAAATAAAATCTAAAAAAATAGAAATAAAATAAATTCAGAGTACATTAAGCTACATTGTCCTCCAATGTATACCTATTGTCTCAAAGTACTTAGCACCTACTCTTACTCTCAGATGTGACCCAGTCTGTATGGTAAGTTATATGGTCAAGACTCTACCCATAAAAAGGCAAGTGAAAGCAAAGTGGCTGGGCAGGATTCAGGGGAATGTAAAACATGTAAAAAATAAAAGGCTTATGGGATTAAAAATTGATTTTTAACATCAAGGAACCAGTACTACCAGTACATTTCCACTTGGCTCAAGTAGCTGGTAGTGACTGATTAAAAGTTACATCTATCAACAATGGTCTTCTCTAGAAAAGATGATTTTTGAGTGAGTGACAGTGTGTGTGTGTGTGTGTGTGTGCGCACGCGCGCGCACATGAAGAGAAAAAAGGCATCAGCATGCTGGTAAATGTTTAACAACAGCTCTTGGGGTGGTGAGGGTGCCCTGATTTGTGGTTTTCTGATTGCCATGGCGTAAATACTTCCATCATGGCCAATTTCAACGTACAAATGTGAAGCTCAGAACACAAGAGTAGGAAAGAGATGCACACGGTAAGTCCTGTGCGTTGGCGGGAGCCGGCTCTCACACACCCATGGAGAAAGGGACTTTAACGCATACTCTGAATACTTTTGTGATGTTTTACTTTTTACAGTATTCGTGTATTAATTTTGTGATGTACATGCCACATATATGCTATATATATACACGCATACATGTACACGCACAGAAACTTATCCGCATCTGTGTGAGGATTAGTCCAAATCATTGTTTTCCTAAGTTTTTTTAAAAAATACATCTAAGTGAAATCTCCACTTTAGCACATAACATGTGGGAGGGGCTCGGAAGTCAGAGCGCTGTGGGGTGTCACGTGACCACCGGGACAGGGGTTGGGGCTCGCTCTGGTGATTACCACGATTTAGCTTGCTGGCATCTGGGATAGAGAATGTCCGGCTTCCGTGCTGAGACCGAAGCTAGACAGAGACTCTGAAGATGCTTTGAGGGTGAGAGCGTAAAGCGAGATCTAACCTCAGAAGAGGAGGAAAGAAGGGTAAGGTTCAAAGGATGAGAAAAACAAAACGGGAGAACAGTGTAAGGTTGCCGTTTATGGATCTTGCTCTCTACACTGGCGTGTGTCTCGGCAGCTTCTTATAGGAGTGGGAGGGAGCGGGGAAGAAACAGTCCGGACTTTCGTTTATTGAATGCAGCGTTCGCTGGTCACATTGCAACTCAACACAAACAGCCCTGCCCAAAGTAGGGCGTGGACTCTTGTTCTCATCAATGTAAACACAACATTAATATTGAAGATTCAAGAAAATGGGTAAAAAGTCCAGTGTCTCCTCAATCCATGTTAATGGTAAAGGTGCTTGCCTACCCTCTGCACGAGTCCCAGAGGGAGCCCGAGGCCATGACCTCGTCCCGGCCGCAGGGAAGTGGCACGGACACAGAGGAACCCAACACGTTCTTCCTGACGGTCTCCAGACGGACACGTGGACCTTCAGAATCTGTGTGAACTACAAGCTTGTGTGAACTACTGCAGTTCTTCTAAAAGCCTGAGAGGTCCGTACCTTCCGTGTGCACCGGAACAGTCCCTTCTGAGCCCTCTCCCCATGAACCAGTCACGGCCAATAGCAAATGCGACGGTCTTCGTATTTCTACCGTCTCCGTCTTAGCCCCTGGATTCTGGAGAGTAGGGGATTCAAGGTCACGGGGGCCTCAGGGATAATCCTGAAGAAGGCTGCCCATGTTTAAATGTTGGCTGAAGACTCTCGTACTCCTTGCTGGGCCACTGATGGCAGGGGCATGTTGGATGGGGCAGCGGATTCTCCTTCAGAGCCTTAAACGATCAGGTTTTCTATTTTGGATTCCCAGACCAAAAACAAACAAACAAACAAACAAACTCCCCCCAAACAAAAAACAAATCGAAGCAAAACAAGAGTGTCCTTGAGGATAAGGAACCAACCGACCCCCATCTCCAGGTCCCACCTGGTATAATGTCCCCATTGGGTTTTTCCAAATGGTTGGTTCAGATCATTGGTTTGCCTCCCACCTTGGATACGCAGCTAGATTGCGGGACAAAAAAAGAAAGTTGCCTCTGAACGAAGAGACAGTTTTGCTTTTATTTCCTGGGATGGCTAACCCCCAGCACCCTGACTTCCCTTTCTTAAAAAGCAATGAGAACGTCCTAAAGACCTGCTTCGCTTTGTGGCTTTGTGGTCGGATAACCCCTTTGCTCCCTCTAACTCCTCTGTGTCCTGTTCTTGAAGAGACTGTGTCGACGAGCTGTTCTTCCACATTCTGGGAGTGCCAGATTGTGGAGTAGAGAGGCGCTGGCCGGATCCTTGTCCCAGATCTCTGTAGTGTGGGCGGCTTTGTTGGGCCAAAGAGACAAGTAAAAACAAACCAAAAAAGCATTGCTCAATTTTGAGTTTGAAGGCTGGGCCCCAAACGGCGAGTGGCGTTCCCCCTGCAGAACAGGTCTCTCCCCCTAGTGGTGGGCTTCCTGGTGTTAGCTGTTGTTCTCAGCCGTGAGATACTTGAGGGCGGCAAAGCCGTAGCGGCGGGACATGTCCTGCTGAAACTCTTCCTTCAGGGTTTTGAGACAGATGCGGTATTGCTTGTTGGACCGGAACTTGGTGATATCGAAGCTGGGGGCATGAGGCATGTGGATCATGTAGGCATTGGGCAGCACGATGAATTCATATTCCTGGAAGACAAGAGCAGCGTGAGCACTTGCAAGGACCCCTGGGAATGTATGACCGATGACCAAGTGCATGACCAAATGACCAAGTGAATGAATGAAGAGGGGAACGACATCAGCAAGGAGGGGGGCATTGGAAAGAGAGCCATGTTGGAGAGGGACAGTGCAGGGCTGTTTCCATGACTCCGGACAAATTACTGGGATTCTCTATGCCTTAGTTTTCTCATCTATAAAGTAAACGTAATAACACCTACCTTGAAAGATGACCAATCAGGGATGGATAGTGCTGGGCAGAGCTCATAGCCTGTGAAAGGTTCTTGGTAAATGTGAGCATGTGCCCATGTGGTTGCTCTAGAATGACACAAGCCATCAGAGATGCTCTTGCTCAATGAAATGATGTCTGTTTCTGTGATTTCTCATAGGGCTTGATGAGATTTAACAGCCTCAACAGATTAGTACACAAGAGGGGACAAAAAAAGAATCAAGAAAAAAAAAAAGATCCCACTGGATGGAAGCTCATTAAGAACAAACCCTAAGAGACTCTTAATCATAGGAAACAAACTGAAGGCTGCTGGAGGGAAGGGGTGTGGGGGGATGGGATAACTGGGTGATGGACATTAAGGAGAGCATGTGATGTAATGAACACTGGGTGTTATATAAGACTGATGAATCCCTGGCCTCTACCTCTGAGACCAGTAATACATTATATATTAATTAATTGAATTTAAATTAAAAAATATTTTAAAAAAGAAATTAAAAAAAGAATTACTAGTGGGTGTTCTTGAGCAAAATAAAAACTAATGCAAAAAAAAAAAAGAACAAAGTTCTTGTCTACTCATCCTTATTGTAAGTCACACCACCATACAGTAGCCTCCACTTGGCAGAATACAGATAGAAACTCAGACCAAAAATAAAATGCCTCCAAATAGCCAAAATAGCTGACACAAATTTAGGGCATGGAACTCCAAGGAGAACCCAGCACACCTTCACTCGGACCCCGTGTTCTCTGATTTTGGACATAATGTCTGATAAGCTTTGGTTATCTAGTTCCCCAGCCCAGAGCAGATCAGAAGAAACTCTGAAGGGGAATATGAGAATGGGGAAAGGGAGCTCTTACAGATGGAGGAACACTTGACACAGCAAGAAGGGACAGTTGATGGTGAGGAGGAATACAAATAATCCGGAGAAGAAAATGCAAGAGCTCCCAGAGCTTAGCTGTTTGGGACTTTCCTGTGGGGACAAAGAACCTGACCAATCCCACTAGCCCTCTAGGTGTGGCCATTCCCTGTCAGGTATGTACTCATTATTTCCGGAAATCACCGGAAAGGGTAAAGTTATATTTAGATGTGTTACCGGCAAAGAAAGAAAAATAACCAAGAAATTTGTAAGCGTTCTGTCAAAATTGCCTAAAATATACAAAGCCCACATCGCAGGGCTGGAAAAATTAACTTTATTTGAACTAGTTCACCTCACCACACTGCTGGACACAAGCATATGACATTTCTTTTCCTTCAAGCAGAAGCTGGGGCAGACTGAACATTTCGGTCTGTGAGCAGCACTGTACTACCTCCAAGTATTATTAAAAAAATGGACATTAATTAATGGTCATGCTTCTGTTGTTATATATGGACACTATTCTACCGCCTTCCATCTACACCAGTGGTTTGCAACCCTAGATGCTTACTAAAATCATGTGGGACTGGGTGCCTGGGTGGCTCAGTCAGTTAGGCGTCTGCCTTTGGCTCAGATCATGATCCTGGGGTCCTGGGATCGAGTCCTGCATAGGGCTCCTTGCTCAGCGGGGAGTCTGCTTCTTTCTCTGCCCTTCACCCCCGCTCGTGCTCTATCTCTCAAAAATACATAAATAAAATCTTAAAAAAAAAAAAATCACTTGGGACCGCTCTCAAACACACTGGAACTGTTGGAAAGTTCTCCAGGTGATTCTCAGGGCAGCCAGCACTGAGCATCCGGCCTTTTTTTTTTTGAATTTGAAGTGCTCCTGTTGAGAAATATTTACTCTGTGCTGCATGAGAAGCCTTGGAGAACAGCACACAAACGGAAACAAGGTGGGGCTGAGAGGCCCAGGCAAGCTTCTCCTCATTTACCCAGAGTAGCTTAGCTTTGCTTTTGTTTATTTAACACTGGGGTTGATGAACTCAGCATGTCTGGCCTGCTGCATTGTTTTTATAAATAAAGTTTTATTGGAACACAGCCACATCCACGTTTAGATACTGTCTATAGGTGAACTACAACCACAGAGTTGAGTAGTTGAAAAGGAGACCTGTCGGCCCCACGGAGCCCCCAAATCTACTATCCGATCTTTTGCAGAAAAAGCTTGCAGACACCTGGTGTAACCTGTTAGAATTCTGCTGATTTCTTTTGAAGTAGGTGTTTAGTAAATATTAGTTGAATGACTGAAAGTGTTTCACAACGAAATATAGCCTGAAAATCATCACTTTTAGTTACAGGGCAGGATAATGAGCTGCATCTCAGCCACATGCCTTCTTGTGTCCCTTATATGGAACTTGGAGAGTGCTGTGTGTTAGTTATATGGCTCAAAGGCCAAGTTGGTGATGGTGTTTTGTCCTCACCATTAAATTGGGTGAGGGTGGGGAGTGAAATGTTTTGTCATAGGACACTCACACTTGCCTGGGTCCTGGCTGGGAATCCAACTCTCACCCAAAGGTGTAGAGAAGGAGCAATTGTTTGGGAATCAGTGGCCATGAGAATTAGCATTGCCACGTTCTCACTTCCGGCCCCTGACCACGTTTCATTCCCTCTCAGGGCTCTGTTCTCTGACCTCCAAGGTCCCCTTTCAGCCCTGAAGCCGACGCTTTCTCCCCCCATGGCGCCAACTACACGACGCCTCACCATCTCACCTGGGCATCCAATTCCATGATATGAGCCACCTTGTTCCAGCCAAAGCCCACAAACCTCCGGTCGTACTCAGGGCAGTCCCTTCTCACGACAACGTACGGCTCGAAATCGGCCTCCCACTCAACACGGTAAGGCGTGGTGGCAGTCCGCCACTTGGCAAAGTTTGTGGGAGCGTGGCCTTTTGTCCAGACGTGGTACCTAGGTCACATGGAGAAAAGCCACTGGGTGAAACGAAGCTCAGCTTCCGCAACAGTGCTGGTTCAGAGGAAGAAAAGGTGTCTGCGGATGCAGTCCTTGCTGTGGGTGGCACGGTGTCCCCCCAAAAGATAGGTTGAAGTCCTAACCCCCAGTACGTGTAGATGTGACCTATTTGGAAAGAGGGTCTTTACAGATGTATCAAGATGAGGTCATGGTGGATTAGGGTGGGCTCTAATCCAACCACTGGGGTCTTTATAAGAAGGAAATGTGGATACTGAGATACACACCGGGAGGATGCCATGGGAAGGTGGAGGCAGAGATTGAAGTGATGTACCCACGAGCCAAGGAATGCCAAGGATGGTCAGCCTCCACCAGAAGCTGGAGAGAGGCAAGGAAGGATTCTTCCCTAGAGCCTTCAGAGGAAGAATGAACCTGCCAACACCTTGATTTTGGATTTCTGGCTTCCGCAACTATGAGAGAATAAATTTCCATTGTGTTGAGCTACCCCGTGTGTAGTATTTTGTTACGGCAGTCCTAGGAAACTAATCCAGTCCGTTATCTACATTCTTCATTAACGAGGAGACTCTCACAATGAAAGGGTAAGTGAATTCCTGGAGGGCTCTGTATCATTTACATGGACCTAACTGCAGGTAAGTCTCTGCTGGTTATTCCGACCAGAGAACACGGTGACCTAGCCCTTGTACCGTGTCCTCCCCCTTGAGGCAGGACCCGTGGCTGTACCACTCCCATGATTATGTCACATCATCTGGCAGAAGGGATCCCTGTAGATGTAACTAAGGTTACTAATCAGTTGACTTTGAGTTAGATAAAGGGGAATTACTGGGGGTGGGGGGAGGGTGGGCCTGGCTGAATCATGAGAATTTTTAGATCTGGGTTTGGAAGAGAGCCACGTGTGAGCTACCAGTGGGAGCCTCGTGGCAAGCAGCCAGCAGGGAAATGGTGACCATAGTCCTCCACGTGCAAGGAAAGGAAGTCAGGGAGCCTAGAGGAGTGTGGCACACTCTGGAGGGGAACTGGAGCCTTGCCCCCACCTTGATTTCAGCCCAGGGAGGCCCTGAGTGAGAATCCAGCCATCCCATGCCCAGATCTCTGACCCTTAGGGACCGTGAGATAATACATTTGTCTTGTTTAAAGCTTCTAAATTTGTGGCAATTCGTTATATAGCAATAGAAAATGAATACAACCATATAACAATAATCATAAGCCAACATTTATTAAGCACTAACTATATACTGGGTATATTGCAAATATTGTATCTTTAGTTTTAAATTCTTATAACTTACTCAATCTCAAGTTACAAATAATAAGGATGGAGCTGGGATTCAAACCCAGACAGCCTGGCTCAAAAGCCAGGGCCCTGGACCACTATGCTGGGTGATCTCTCTTCTGCGTGCCCATCACCCACACTCTCTGGCCTCTACAGAGCAGAGAGTCAGTGATCGGGCACTAAGTTGAAGAGATTAATGAACAAGTAATCTCAAAACCTGACGGGTAGCTATGAGAGAGGGCAGGTCGTGGGGCAGGAATCTCCCTCTGGAAGCTACAAAGAGGTGGCAGGAGCCTGGGAGCCTCGTGAAACAGCGGACCTGGCCCAAGAGCAAGGGGTTAGGGGAAAAGAACATTGCAGAAAAAGGTAATATGAAAGGTGGGACCCCAACAACTTAGGGAGCTTCAGGGAGAAAGGAGCTCACGGTCTGGGGTCCCACCTCCACTCAGGGAGGCTCTAAAGCACATGAGGGTTGAGTGAGAGCTGGCAGTCAGTGTGGCAGGTGGCGCTCTTCTCGTAGGGGACGCGGCCACTTGCTTACTCTGCGCCCTCACCCCCGCCCCCCCCCCCCCAGAGGCTGGACCTCCCTGGGACCCTCATGAACTGCCCAATGAGGCTGAATGGGCACTGGCCAATGGCCAGGCTGGCCGAGGGCAGGGACTTGAATCCCCAGCTCCACGGATTCAGCAAGTGCCTCCAAAACTACGGTCACACAATCGGAAGGAACACAAGAGGCTGAGTAACACCGAGGGCATGGAGTGTGAGAAGGAGGGATACTGCAAGATGTCGGGATTAAGCCAAGAATCAGGCCGGGAAGGAGTTGATTTTCCATTCGTGAACTAGCTCGACAGGTGGTCCCGACACCTGCCACTTGCACAGAGCAGCCCAGCACCACCAGCGGCCGGGCACACACGCTGGCTCAAGCTCGGCACAGCGGGGCTGCCGAACCGGGGTTTGAAACCTGCCTCCGTCGCTTAGGGGCAGAGGCCCTCGGTCAGCAGAACATTTAAACTAGCCTTTACTTCCATCTTGTGTCCCCTGGGGAAAAGAGCACCTATCTTGTTGAATGGCTGGGGAACTTAAATGAGGAAATGTTTATAAAGAGCTTGGCACAGTGCTGGCATACAGTAGGCACTCAATAATGCTCCTGCCCTAAGAGGCAGTTTAACAAGGCGGCTAAAAACAACGGCTCTGGAGCCAGCCTGTCTGGGTTGGAACTCTGTCACTCAGCAGGTGTAGAAAATGTACCTAATTTCCCTGTTCCTTCGTTTCCTTCTCTAGGTAAAATTATTAATAAATAGTAATAATTATTCGTTTCTTTCTCTTGGTAAAACAGAGAGAATCATGCCCGCATCACGGATTTATGACAGCGATGTGAATTCACATCAAGCACCCAGGGCAGTGTCTGATACAGAGTAATGTTTCCAAAAGTGAAGATACGCTCATTACTCCCTCTTGTTTGCCCTAGATATGGTGTCAGTTCACAGGGGGCTGACTCTCCGTGATGTCAATGTATCATAGCCATCTTATTTAGAATACAAACCCTTGGCCTACTGTGTGGGAAAGAGGAAGAGGGGGGAGGGCAGCTGGGTCAGTCCTGTCCCCCGGGTGGGGGGGCAGCATCCGTGAGCTCGGTGGGAAGACGGACAAGCGGTGCCACACAGCTGGTCAGCACGGATCAGGGTGACATGACAGTTCACCTGCCACAAGAGCACGCGCGTGCCTGACTCCGCCCCCCCCCGGAACCCACCATCAGTCCAGGGGACACACTTGTTCTGACATTATCAACACCAGGCAGCCTCCAAAACAACAGAGACGAGAGAGGTTTCCTAGATACGGCATGTGGGATGCCACTCCGGAGAGATCTGGGGGCACCCTGCTTTGAGCAGTGGTTCTCAGACTTGAGCTGCGTATCAGAATCACCTAGGAGACTACAGTTTGACCAATCACTGGGTTCCACCCCCAGAGTTTCTTATCCAGTACATCCGGAACGGGGCTTGAGACCTGACACTTCTACGTTCCCAGGGGATGCTGATGCTACTCGTCCAGGGACCCCGCTCTGAGAACCTAGAGCACCAGCGGGGGTGGGGACGATTTCCCATTCCAGCTGCAATGGGAGGGGGGTCTCAGCTGCAAGGAGACTTGAGAGCTCATCGTTTGGAGGGGAAGGAAGGTGACAAAAGCAATTTCTTGGGGGGAAGGTCAGTAATTTAGCACTTGGCCTCATGGCTTGTGAGCTGCGGACCAGAGCAGGAATCCTGGAAACGGCAGGCCAAACCCGGGCTCCCTTGCCCACAGACGTGGCCTTGAAATGTGTTCTCAAATCACCTGGGGATGGAGATGGAAGGAAAGAGGCCCTGGAAATCTGCCAGGCGTGGAGCCATCAGGCTACGGCATCTGTGGGAGGCTCGGATGAAGATCTGCTCTCAGAGTCTCAATTTTTACCTGCACCTAACATGGATTGGTAAGAACATTCAGGACTCAGTCCAATGATATCTGAGTTAAAAGCATAGGCTCTGCAGCTCCTCAGACCTGGACTGAATCCAGGCTCTGCTGTGTGCTGGTGGTGTGTCCTTGGGTAAGTTATTTGGCTTCTCAGAGCCTCAGTTTCTTTATCTGTAAAAGGGGGATGATAGTATCTGCCTCACAGATTTGTTGTAAGGATTACAAGAGCTGACAACAGTGCCTGGCACAAGTTACGTATTCAACAAATGGCAGTTTTTATTTCTTTCCAAGAAGAAAGAAGTCTGAGTTGGGGGGGCAGTTATTAAACCACTTCAGGCCACTTTCCAGAATTCTGGATAGAGGAAGAAGGCTGGGGTTCGAGTCCTGGCTCCAGCAGGACTCTCCACTCCTCAGTTTATCTGCTTAAAATGTGAAAAAGGATCATCTCTGAATTGTTGAACGAATAACCGATCTCATAGTTATTTTCCCAAAATAAAGTTTGAGAAAACCTTCTAGAAGCTTCTAGTCACTTAACAGTAGTACAGAAACCAAAGTTATTATTATACAAGCTTTTCAATAAAATTCAGATTGCCTGGAAATGTATGATTTTTTTTACTCAAACACAGTGTTGGCCATTCTTCCACGGTTCAAAGTGGAGGTTGCTCTTTAAAATAGGCGCAGATGGGGAGCAGGGGCTCCCTCTTCAGACCGCTCAGTCAAGAGACCGGGGAGGACCCCTATGCCCCCCAAGGGCACTAAATGCCACAGCCTGTTCCCGGGAGTCGGAACCCATTCGCACCTGCACCGTTGTACACACTCCCTGGGCACGTCGGACAGGTGGTGGGGTAGCTCCCCTGCGAGGCCCCCGCAGGACTGGGGGGCGTGGAACATCAGGCAAGTGCGGGGCTTATTTAAAACTGTCACTCGGGCGATGGGAAAGTCAGCTGCCCCATCTGCTGTGTCCAACCCTGGAGTCACCTAGATGCCATTAGCTGATGAAGCTACCGACACCCATCCTAGGCCTGAGGACCGCGGAGTACGGACCACTCCCCAAAAAAGGAAAAGGGGAACAGCAACCATGGTGCTGAACAGGATGGACCCACTTCCCAGATGAATGAAGGAGCAAGCAAACCTAAGAGAGAATTCAGACAGGAGACAGGGTCAGAAACCCAGACAGAAAGAGTAAGCTGACTTCCTACCTACCTTCCTATCTGGACACATGATGCCCACCACCCACGTACAGAGCAAAGCACACAGCATGTGGGAAGAGAGACTAATTCCAAAGACGTAGTTGGGGGCCAATGGTGCTTCTTCTGGCCTTAAGATTGGTCTAAGGTAGCGGCGAACTTCTGGGCCAATAGCTCTGGTGTCTGGTTTCCGGGGACAGGAAGGCCTCGCACACCCCCAGGGGCCGGCACTGGGGCTCCTCACCTGAATGTGAAGAGAGTCCCCATGTCCAGCATTGACAGCAACTCCGCTTTCGACTTGGGGAAAGACAGCCGGTAGCGCAGTGTCTCGAACGCAGGGACGATCATCGCCTTCTTGGTGTTGGCAAGATCGAGCTGGATGATAGACTTCCTGAAAGGAGAGGGCAGGCAGAGACAGGGTCCCCGTGAGGCCAGGCAGAGGTCTTTCCCACCTGAGGGCAGGGAGGGGGCCCAGGGGGCAGAGGACAGAAAGCCCAAGTCAAACCCTCAGTTTAAAGATGGGGAAACTGAGGCCCGGGGAGGCCAAGCAGCTTGTCCAATACCACTCAGGAGTCCAGAGAAGAAAGGCTGCCTCTGAGTCAAAAAATGGAGTCTCCCTGGAGAGTGAACCGAGGGCAGGCCAGATAGGAGGGGCTGGGAGACCCTCCCTCACTTTCACAGTGAGTGTCCCTGGCAGAGCCAAGTGCAGAAGGCAGGTCTCCCAGGACCCACAGGGGTTGGAGTCCAGCCTGCAGGGTCCACTGGGCTGGCTCTCCACTCCTGCACCACTGGCCACATGGGAGCGTCGGACAGCAAGTTGATGAGATGAGCCCCAACCTGGGCATTTCTGGGTCCCATCTCTTGGACTTCTCAACCCCTCAAATCCCCCAGACCCTGAGCCTTGAGAGTCATCAGACCCACCCTATGCCGCCAGCACCTAACACAACAGAGCTCGGATCCCACGTGAGGGTGGGACATTCTCCACGCGCTTCCTCACTCCCACCTTTGAGGCTGCCCTTCTGCTCTACTCCTCTGAGACCCAGCTCCTGCCCTTCTACATTTGTCAGCCACTGCCCAGCTCTGCGGCCATCATTTTGAAAGGGAGAAAGGCTTAGAGAGGGACACAGAGCAGGAGGCTTGTAATGAACAGACAGGGTTTGAATCCTGGCTCCGTCACTTGGTGAGTCTTGCCGTATTGGGCAAGTAATTTAGCTTCTAACTACCTCAGGTTCCTCCTTCCTAAAATGGGGCAATGATTTACCTCCCTCCTGGAGCTGTCGTGGAGGCTGAACGAGGTAACATAAATACAAATACCATTTGGCACACTTGGTACGTGGCTGACCTGTAGCAACACATGGTCACTGTTCTACCATAACACGGTCCTTATTCCCTGGCTTGATCTCCCAATGATCCCTTTTGGCCATGACTTTGGTACTTCATTCTGGCTTCCTGCTCAGACCCCTGGCTCTTGGGACTCAGTGCCAGGGAGGGCTATTTGCTTATCATCTCTGAAGTAGAGAAAGCAGTCTTTCTTGGGGTAATCAAAGCATTGGAAGGCATTTTGCAAAATACTGGAAGTATTTTGGAAGTAGCAGCCTTCCATAGCAATGCGACTTATCGCTGTATTACTAAAGTCACTTCACTTTGAACTTGTGCATAAGCAGGGATGGGTCTGCAAAGGGGAGTCGTGCTACCACGAAGGAAAACTGTGTTAGCCGAGGCCAGTGTGGGGCAAGAACAGGGCGGCCGTTTGAGAAGGACGAGGCAGAGTTTGGTATCCATGAGTGATGAGGTCAGAGGAAGGACTGGTGTCAGAAGACAGCCCTGGGGAAGGGGGGAAGGGGGGAATCGGTGGCATCAGCGCCCCCTAGAGAGGGCGTGGCTGAGATGGACCAGGTCATTTTAGAATCCTCTGAATAGCAGTTGCAATTCATTCTTTATAATTAGGCTTAAATATATACCAAATGCTATATGACCCTGATGTCACTATTTCTGGGGAGACTCATAAAGGATGACACCAAGATAGAATCGGGGTGAGCTATATTTAGCCAGTTGGAGGACCAGTAGCCTGAGTCAGCCTGCTTTGGTCTGCATTCCTCTCCTGCTTTGTCTCTCTGAACGATGACTTCCCAGTTGCCAAACATCCGAGATTCCCTCACCCATGGCCAAGTATTCTCTTCTCAATCAATTCTCTATTGGACATAGGCAGAATGGGGGCTTGCTGCCTTTCCTCCAGGAAAACTAGATCCCTTATCTGTCGGTTCTGGGTATCGGGGATGGGACACAGGGTCTGGGGGATATCCTTGGACTCACTAGATGGCAAAGCCCCTGCAGCCACCAGGAAGGAGGGAGAGGAGAGGCACCCAGCATGGGTGGTTGCTACTCATTCAACAATCCTGGAGCGTACCTACTATGTGCTAGGCACTTGCAGACACAGAGTGAACAGAACAGCCCGAGTCCTTCCTGCCTGGTATTCACATTCTTGTCGCAAACATCTCAGGATGCTAAAAGCCCAAGATTGCATCTGCAGCTAATTATGTTAAGGTAATTGGGAAAAGCGTGGGAGGCCAGGAGCACTGAACCACAAAGGGATGGGCAAAGCGTGTACACACATCCACAACAGAGGTCTGTGGATGCACGTGTCTGCCTCTGTTACTATTATGATCACGGTTACAGTAGCCACTTCCCGGACTGCCCTGCTCAAAGATGATTCTCTTTCTCATGGTCCCTGCATGTAGGAGCAGCTCTGGGAACTCAGGGCCAGGGGTAGATGCTTGACTCAAGCTGAGCAAATCAGTTTCTCACTCCTGGAAATCTGAACAGAGATGCCGAGATTGGAAACCTAAGAGCCGACATGCGCTAACGTCAGGCAGTTCTCTAGAGGCTTCTGAACTTCAGCTGCAGAGGGGCCCAGAGCTGCCCTGGTTAATTATGGTCTCAAGTATCGGTTTTCCAAATTCTACTTTGGTGCCATAAGAAATACCACTCAACTGTTTTTTTTCTTTCTTTTTGTTTTGTTTTCCTTTGATTTCTTTTCATTTCAATGAAGCTGCCCACTGTTGGTCTCTGTTGCTTACAACCAAAGCACGCTGACTGATAACATTGCACGTTCCAGAGTATGGAGACCCAGCAAGCAGCATGCCTTACAAAATGCAGCCTGAGAAAGTTCTTATTTCTGTCTGCAGAGAGAGCATCAGATCCTGGAGTGCCTTCTAAAACTCCCTTTAATCTCACTGAAACACAAACTGCCACCAAGATGGATTTGTAACTAGATAGGTCCATTTCAGATTCAGTCCAAAGACGTTTGGATATTGATGTCCTGAATGGGTCTCATTATGAAGTTTCAGCAATAAAGTGGTTTCAGGATACTGACTCCGAGCACATCTGCTCACTGAGCTGGGAATGATATAGCTTGGGCCCTTCCGCAAGGTTTCCTGTCGGTATATCCTTCCCTTGCTGGGGGTTTGCTGAGCCCCTGGGGATGTACAATGTGCCTCCACCATTTATCTGGAAAGGGAGTCCTGCAGGAGATAGAGTGTTTCAAATGAGCAGAATCTTCTGGGGAGATTGGCTAGACTGGGGGCCAAGAGATGTGAGTGCTGCAGCCAGCCCGGACAAGCTGAGTGGCTTTGGGTCATGTCTCACATCTTTTAGAATGTTAAATCTAGAGTGACACTGAAGATTCTGGAAGGTACTCTAGTGCAGTAGCAATCAGACACACTTGGCTTCTAGCTTGGACTCTACTGCTCCTCTTAGAAAGTCACTTGAACCATTCTGAGTCTCAGAGTTCATGCTCTTGTTAAATACTTTGGTGAGGAAAAGCACACGTGCACATGGGAGTCCTTGGTGCAATGCCCAGCCCACATTGAGCACCGTGTGTATGGTGGTTAAGCCTGTGATGGTTGCTTTTATGTGTCAGCTTGGCTCACCGAGGGTGCCGGCTGTTTGGTCAAATGCTCATCGAAATGTTGCTGTGAGGATATTTTGTGGACATAATTAATGTTTACAAGCAGTTGACTTTAAATGCCCTTGGCCTCAACAATGTGGGTGGGCCTCATCTAATCAGTCGAAGGATGCCAGAGCCAACACTGAGCTTCCCTGGGGAAGAAGAGATTCTGCCTCTGGACTGTCACATCAAAATCCTGCCTGAGTTTCCAGCCTGCTGGCCTGTCTTACGGATTTCAGACTTGCCAGTCCTCACAGTGCCTTAAAAGAACTCTCCATCTTGCTGGTTCTATTTCTCTGAAGAATCCTGGTTGATGCACGTCCTTGCTTCTCACCCAAGACCCTTTCAGAAATATTCCCAAACCTACTACAACATTTGTGGACTGAAGAACTCTTAAAAGGTTTCTACTGAAGTAGTTCAGAACCCTGCTTGTACAACAGAGAGCAAAGCAAATACACGTGACTTGGAACCAGCTGGCCCCGGGGTTCAAATTCTGCCCGCCACTCTCTTATGACCTTGGGCACGATATTCAACTTCTTGTGGTCACAGGTTCCCCGGCTATAAAATGGAGATGATAACCCTTATCAATCAGGGTCGCTGAAAGGATGAAGCGAAACAGTCCCCTAGGGCCTGACCCAGTGCCTGACTTACAGTAACTGCTAACAAACGAGCCCACTTCCCGTTTCTGCCTCGGCTTACCAGTGGGCCTCCTGCCGGAGATGGGTGAGTGCAGAGGAGTCAGGAAAGGCAACAGACTCTTGCAACCAGGGCAGGATTTTGTTGCCAACCTGCTTATCTATGGAAACAGAATATATTAGATCTCAGTCTCCAGCCAGCTCTCTGGATCCTTCTGTCAGAAACCATTCAGGTGTTCCTGACAGAGTAAGTTTGGCCCCTCTGATCTGGTGGAGCTGGAGGTCACCGGGGACCGGCTGGGGCAGGGAGGGACTGAGCACTGGGCAGCGTCCGTCTTCAAGCCCCCCAGGCCTCCCGCACATCTTCCCTCAGCGTCTCCCCTCCACTTACTCAAGTGTGCAAATAGCTCACAGCCTGTTTGGCACCCACCTGGGAAAAGCGGCGAGCAGGGGGGAGAACGTGAGGGTAGTGAGGATTCCTATACCAACCGAGTGGGTGGCCAGGGGCCGCCTGGAGACTCGCACGGCTCAGCATTATGTCAGAGACACAGCACAAAGGGGACGCTGTGAGGAAGATGGGCTTCCTGGGGTTTAGAAAGACCAAACCCCGCGACGGGATCCTGGCAGTGGGTTGTGAGTACGCACACCCACACACGGGCACACGCGCGTGCACACACACACACACACACACACACACTCGTACCCCTCCATCTCTCTCCTTTTCACCCCATCCTCAAGGCGGGTCTCTGTCACCAGGGAGACAGCCCAGGAGCCCGGCACAGAGAGATTTTGGGAAAGCATCTCAGAGAA